GGTGATGGTATAAATAGTACTCGCTATAAAGAGAGTACATAATCCTTGATGAACATACACTATCGCTTAAAAGTCGAGCGATTCGTGTAACACATCTATCCCGGTGCATCTGAATTCTTTTCTTTCAAACACCCTATAGATGTGTGCTCGCGAAACGTCTTGGCAGCTCGAGAAACACGTTTCGCCGCCAGGTGAACACACGAGACACGACGAGAAGGCATCCAAGGTTTTCCGTCAACTGTATCATTTGACGAAACATTAGTCACGAGCAAGAGTCACACATTTTATCCGTGGAATTCGTCCGACTCTCTCGGTCTCTCTTACGAATCCGCATTATCGAGCAACCGGTCACACTTCTTCATCCGTGTTCTTCGAATTTCTGGCTCGTGATCCAGCTTTTTGGCGGTCGAACCGCTAGGCATCGCGTCGCGAGTTCTTCGAGATTCCTGGAAATGCCTAAAATCGAACGATACCAAAGCGATTACGAATAACCAGCTGAGAATAAGTCTGAATTAATCGGAACAGTATGAGGATAGTTGCATAAATGCTTGGCTTACTTTAATACCGATATTAAGAATACCTGTTCCTAGGATCTCCCTAGGTTCTCCCGAAATCCAAGGGAAAGTTTAACCGATTCACCTAATTACCTATTCGAGGAATTAACGGCAATTGATCGGTGCTCGTTCGTTATCTCTGTGGCGCTCTTCTCGCCATAGTTGGTAATTGTCGAGGAAAAGCGATCGACGAGAAGGATCGAACGTAGATCATGATCGTTTTACCTGTAAATTCGTTTCGAGGACGTTTAGCGTGCATTTTCGAATGCAGTGAAAGTTGCGTTCATGCGACATCGGCATCCTGTTACGTTCAGGGTCAGTTAGAGCAACGTGGACGAATGATTTTCCTTTGATTCTTTTCCACCCGAAGCTTAGATGGTACCGATTCGGTAATCTCTCGTTGCGTTATTGCAGGTGCATCAAAAATATCCTGTACTCCTCTTTTCATCTGATCGAACATAAAGCGATGCGAATAAAATGAAAAAGAAATGGTAATGCAGGTATGCACGCGCGTGTGTTGGTTACGCATAGTTTTCGCGGTGTAGCGAATTGCGATAATATACGGTGGAAGACAACGACCGTGCGCGAGAGGTTTTTCCATTCGTGTATCGTCTCTCGAAAGACGTTTCTTTCGATAAGCGAAAGGTAAAGCGATAAATAATATCCGTGTGACGCGAGGAGAGAAGTAAAAACGCGAGATAAACGATATACGGCCAGACTTTATTTTACGCGTACGTCACGTTCGATCTATTTGTATTACTGTGGTACCGCGCGAGCACCTTCGATGTGTGTGCATTATAGTAATCGTCGTTTACCTGCGGACAGCAGAGTAGGTCGTACTCGCTGTTCGAAATGCAACAATTTCATTTATTTCAAGTAAATCCTTCATAATTGTTATGTTTTGTGATTTAAGAAGGGAAAGAAGGAAAAGTTGAAATATTTCGAACACCCTGAATATTCTAATACATCCGCGGGGATCGACGCGACGTTTTTACTCGGTTAGTCGGAGGCTAAAGACCCCGACACACCTGTAGACACTACTGCTAGAGAAGTGTTAGGCAGTAAACGCGAATACCAGATAGGAGGACAAATACCCAGGAATACCTCGAATGTATCGAAAGTTCAAGGCAGCGCGAAGTGTCCTCGGTTCGCTCTTTGCTTGTCGCTTCGTTCGACTTAACAATCAGCGATCACCGTTCAATACCCGTTGAAACTTTATTTTTTTCTTTCCTCGTTCAAAGCGGAAGGATTAAAGGCGATTTTAAATAGAGAGATAAGTTGAAAAGCGAACCTTGTACATTCTTCGAAAATCCATCTATTTTCGGTAACCTTCAGGAAAGTAACTCGTAGATTTCGTACAGATAAAGAAAGAAGTGGTTTTCCGGCTACGGATTAGCTAAGTGGCGCCAACTCGTATTTAAGCCGAAATTTCGTATACCGTTAATGGTTCCGACCGGTTCCATAAATAACATCTATGACAACTTAATCGCACCGTGATATATTCCTCAACATTCGTCTCCACGTGGAAAAATCGAAAATGTACCAGGACGAATATTGATTTATGATTTTCTTCATCAAGGTCATTTTATTTCGAGTTTTCAAGGCTGTTGAAAGTTTCTTAACCCGTCGGTGCATAGGTGAATGCCTGAAACGTAATTATCTACCCGGGTTACTCTAGCAACTTGGTCAGGTTATAACTTAACTCCGAGGGAAGTTACAAAGAAAATCAATCTACAAGTATTTTTGTTTACTCCAAGCTGCGATTAGTCCACGTGGCACGTGGCAGGCGGTATCATTCAACTAATCAGTCGCTGATTTTTAAGTAGAATCTCTGTAGACGTAGGAAAAGAAACAAAGAATCTTCTTAGTCGAAGATGGATCGGAACTTTATCAATTTCCATAAATTCATTAAAAGACTCGCGTTAGCTGGCTCTTATCTCTGATAAAAGCGACGACAGTTTGTGCTCTCGAACTCTCGTCGAAGGTAGTTTTTTCACGGGAGAGAAAGTAACAACCAGAGGGAGGGCTACTGAAACTGCACAACGACGACGACGAAGACGACGACGAAGACGACGACGACGACGACGACGACGACGTCGGGAGAGAAGAGCAAGCAGGCGAAAGAGAGCGTCGGTGCGAGAGTGTCTATTTACGAGTTGTCCGGCGCCGTGATGTCCGGAGTAAAAATACATCGTAGTCCGTATGCTGTGCGCCACACAGAAACCCTCTTGTAATTCTCCGATGCTCTCGAGCTGCCTGTTGCCTGTTCGCCTGCCTCCTCGCCTGCTTACTTGCTTTGCCTGCTTACTTACTTGCTTACTTGTCCACCTTCTCCCTCTTTTCTTACTTTCTTTCTCTTCTTTACCCCCATGCCTTTCTCTTGCGCTGCCCTCCCAACGGTGACTCTCTTGGAACGCATTCAACCGCTCCCGGAGAAGACCCACGACATGCTAGCTTTTCCAACACACCATCCTTCTTCTCTTCTACTCTCTCACCATCGATTGCTCATCTTCAACATTGATTTTCAATTAATCACTGTACATTTTCCTTTTTTATTTTATCACTGTAGATTTGATCGTTCTTCGACAGGGGTGGATTTTTCAACCCTTCCGAAGAATTATCCATTTGTCACCGTTTCATTTTGCCTAATTAAATTTCATTCCACGTTCTATCGTTATTGGAGCCATAGCTCGTCGCATCTGAGCATATCCGTTCTTCAGAGCGAAGGGGTTAATTTTATTAGAGGAATGATCGATATTGTTCCAAGAAACGCAAGTTTATCCGACGATCGAGAAAAGTAATATCGGCCTGGTTATTTTTCGTTCGACATCGTGGTGTTAGAGCTTAACGCGTCTCGATCAGATATACATCACGATTGGATAATGCTCTTAATGTTAAAACTACGTCAAACGCGTTCCGTTCCGGCCGGGTATTATTAACCGTGTAAGAAGATTTGTTTCTCGCTCGGAAATACTGGGAATACGTACGATACGTCGATTTACAGAACTTGTTTGTGTCCTCGTCGATGACTTAAGCGAAACGTATTGACTCATCGATGGATGGAAATATAAATGAGCGACGGTTTTTGGCAGAATATTAGATCGCTCTATTAATTCGGTGAAACAAAGCTTTCGTTACTTCATTCAAAACTTTCCGTCGCGGGATCGTAAAGAACCGTGAACAACGATGAAAACATTAAATCATTGCCGATATCTAAAATATGAAAATCAGCCGACTGACGGTTCTGTCAAAACATGTAAGCTTTTTGCATTTTCCATTCAAGATCGTCTTCAGAATTAAAGAATTACATTTGGCTCCATTTCAAAAGAGATCATTTACACTCAACGTTCGTATAAGAAGAACATTTCAATGAATGCGCTTATTCAAGAATTGCATTATGAATTATGAATTTTCTATAAAAAAAATTTCATACACGATGAAACCTTTATGTACCGATTTTAGTCAAATTTTCAGATTGAAATTGATACGCGTTAAGGGTCATTTTTCGATACCTTTATGTCACGAAATCGCGTCTGTCGATCCACGGGTATCCTTATGGTAAATTATTTGGATGCGTTCAGTAGCATCGAGTCGGAAAATTTCGGTGTCGAAGATTATAGAGGGTGTCGTATTTTAACCGTATGTTGGTCGTTGTCTAAAATTTCTCTGGAGTCAGGCAAGGTGGACGGTTCGCAAAGGTATTCGTTTCACGAAGGTAAATAAGAACTCGTAGCTCCTCCGGTGTAATGTTTTCCACTTCCTCTCGGTTGAAAAATGACACGCGAGTAAGGTAAATACGTTAGGTAGAAGGGAAGAAGACGGGATCGGCAATCACAGCCATTAGCCGCTATTTTTGTCGACCGAGAAACGTAGTGTTTTCGTGCAACTAAAGCCGTTTCGGATGAAACAGTTTCATCCTCCTCTCTCCGTGTTAACTTCTAACCGTACCATTTAGGATTTAACCCTTTAACCCCTATCATCCAGATCTTTGGTAGATCTTGAATTTATTAAATTTCAAACCGACGAGGCACCTTTTGCGTCCTGCGTTTAACCAGAGACAGTCGAGTATCTTCATCTTGCAGAGTTTGAACGAAATCAACGATCCAAAGGTCGTGCGCTCCCCTTGTGAGAAAACGACGTTCTTTACGATACGATCAAACGTATTTGCCATTCGATTGAAAAAAAAAAAAAAAAAGTTTCCTCAATACTGATCGGTTTTTATTCGAAAAACGTTGTACGCCGTAGGCCTAACTACGCTGGCTAGAGGCAGGCGCCTGGCTGTTACTCCTTCGCGTCGTCTTTTGAATGGAACTATTTTTAGAATTCGCCTACTATATGTGGATAACTGTACGTGCCGTGGCGTATTCAGTTTCTGCACGGTGCCACGCTGGTATACGGTACAAAATAGCACGACCGTCTGAACCGTGTTATAATTTTATTTTCCAGCCACCTGACGCGAACCACGACATGGGAGGATCCACGAAAAACAGCGGCAGCGGCGAACGTGGCGGCCGTGGCCGCAGCCGTCGACAACGGGAAATCAACGAGCGCTGCTACAAATTCCTTAGGCCCGTTGCCCGATGGCTGGGAACAGGCGCGTACTCCCGAAGGAGAGATCTACTTCATTAATCATCAGACACGTACCACCTCTTGGTTCGATCCTAGAATCCGTAAGTTCATTGGAGATCCTTAGATGAATGTGATCAAGGAAGAGTTTCATCAAATCATTCCTAAACATTTCGATTCCGCGACGGTTTATTTTATATTAATCGATTTAGAATGATTTATTGTATCATAAGGAGCATCGTCGAAAGAATTCGAGTAGCCTGGTTGATAAGGTGTCCGATCATTGTTCGAGGATCCTTTGGAGCGCGAGTTCAAATCCCCGTGAAGGAAGATTTTGAAATGTTATTTTTTTTTTTTTTTTATATTTCAATTACATTTAAGAGTAAACGAAGGTGTATTAACGAGCTTGTCGATTTTATGCAAAGATATATTATTTCCTGTAAAATATTGCCCGTACCGTTTTGCACGAGCCTATTGCTATGTTATGTAATTTGTACACGTTCAAACTTCAAGTTCGAACACATTCATGAGTCAGTGTGTAAGTTCATTCAAACATCGACGAAACTCCTTGCAAGTAGTGTGTAGGATGATCTTTAAAGGTCGCCCGTACCCCGCGATTTTATTTTCGTACGTGAATTAGAGTTATTCGTAGAATCCAAAGTTTTACCTATCATCAGTGGCTCATTCAGTCTGTCGATCCTTTTTCAGCTACGCATTTGCAAAGGGCCCCGACTTCTGGTGCTATGTTACCTCAGAATTGGCTGCAACAGCAACCCACAGGTGGTGGTATTCAAAGTAATCAAACGTTGCAAGCGTGTCAACAGAAACTTCGTCTTCAGTCGTTACAGATGGAACGCGAACGTCTTAAACAACGGCAACAGGAAATCATGCGTCAGGTTGGTGGTCATAATAGTAGTAGGAGTATTTATTCAATGGTTTTCCATATTTTCTTTTTTTCCTTACGTCGAAATGTTTCGTTTTGCAGCAAGAACTGATGCTTCGACAGAGCACCACCGATGCCGCGATGGATCCATTCTTATCAGGAATCAATGAACAACACGTGCGTCAAGAGAGCGCAGACAGTGGTCTCGGTCTTGGTTCTGCTTACTCTCTTCCTCACACCCCGGAAGATTTCCTTGCAAATATCGACGACAATATGGATGGTACAAGCGGTAAGGCGTGAAAACATTTCCAAAGCCGGCTATTATTCTGTGATGAATCATCGTATAAAATATATGTAAATCGGGTTTTGTTTTTCATAGACGGAGGTGCACCTATGGAAACTCCAGATCTTTCTACTTTGAGCGACAATATTGATTCCACCGACGATCTTGTCCCATCGTTACAGGTACCTATCAGAAACACGGACAGCCGTCCTCGATCTCCGTTTGGAAGATTTTTTGATTTTAATTTCTTTCTTTTTTGTTTGTTTTTTTCCGGTAAATTCGTCACCAGTTGAGCGAGGATTTCAGTAGCGACATTTTGGACGACGTGCAATCGCTGATAAACCCTAACACGACAAAACCTGAAAACGTGCTGACGTGGCTGTAGTGTGCGGAGAGAGGGAATTGTCTATGACAGGCAAGCAATTGATGAAATCGACTCGATAACAAAAAAAAAAAGAAACAAAAAAATAAGAAACGAAACAACAATATCACAATTTTAATACGTCTAAACTGAATGGAACGATTCTAGAGGATCTTTACCAGTAACGACTATTCCATTAAGAAAACAAAAACGAAACAGGAACAGAACAAAAGGAAAAAAAAAAACCGGAAAAACGCACGTGAAACGAGAAAATTTTAAAGTTTAAGTAGAAATGAAAGGAGAGCCTTAATTGCAACGCGCTATGCTCAACGTATAATACGAATCATGTATACAGGAATATTTTGTAGGGTGTCCTAAAAAGTGTTCACGTTAAATCGTAAGATCGTGTTCCAAATAAGGATTTCTTTCTTAGCTGCCATGTTTATCGTGCGAGGAAAAATGGTGGCTAAAAAAAGAAGAAGGAAATGTTAAAAGATTTGAAGCCTCTGGAATCTAGTGTTCATGGCAAGCTTGTTTGAGTCTTCCTGAAAAGATGCGTTTGAGAATTTTAAGCAGGCCGTTTAATTAGCATCGAGGCTTCCCGACAATTGAAAAACACTTGTCTATCTTTTACTTCTTCCTTTTTTTTTTTTACCACCTGTTGAAACACGATGATTAAAGCTCTTGGAATCTTGGAACAAAAGGAACACGATCTTCGATCGTGTGTAGAATTTCGAGGATTTTTTTATTTCTGGGATATCTTGCACGATGTAAATGAACATTGTATTCGGGTCTTTCTCTTTCTCTCTTAATTATTAGAGCGTTCGAGCGTTTGTATGTTTTCTTTTTTTTTTTTTTGTATGCGTGTATGAGTGCATTCGTGGTCCCCCTCCCCCGAATCCCCGACATTTTGTATATATATAAGTTTGTATTTCTATTTACTAAAGCATTGTACGAGAGGGAGCGAGAGAGAGGACTGAATATTTTGCCTAATAATATTTAAATGTGCGTTCACGCTCATCATCATTGAAGGAAGAAAAAGAAAGGAGAGCGCGACGGTGTGTAAGCTCGATTTATTATATCTTCCCGATAGTAAGAAGATAGGACAAGTTGAATTGTTGTTTAATTATATTTATAATCAACGTTGGTTTATACAATGAGGAGAAAATCTGGTATCATGACATACCAGATTTTTTTTTTGAACGGTACACATATAGGATCTCGCGTGTGATTAGAAGAAGAAATTCTCTTTTAACACTTTGACGGCCGTATCTTTTTATACCTAACAGGAGAGATTATTCGTAGAATTATATTTCAGAGTTTTATTCAGAAAGTATATTACAAATAAAAAAAATAAAAAAAAGAATGATGACGTCGGCCGTCAAAGCGTTAGAAACCACCATACCTGATGTGTTCACGGGATTTCAAGGTATCAATTGAAAATTCGTGAAACGTTTAACGTGTAACGAAATGCAAAATAAGTGCAATTATTATATGAAGAAGAAAAATGATACGCTACCGTGTAGAAGGATAAAGGGGGGAGGGGAGGGGGAAAGAAAAAATGGAAGAGAGGTGATATTTTATTCGTTGATTACATTATAAACGGTGATCTTTGTGCGATGTTTACGGAAGCAAAATGAGCGACGTCTAAAAGTATCGAAGCATTTTTAAACACACACTGTTGTCTATAACTTCGAAGTTGGCATACGGAGCAAATCATGTTTACCGTGTGTTGTGTGTATCATTCAGATTCGAAACAGATTTTCTTCGAATCGTCGTGTCCAAAGTATATACATGTATATATACACACACATTTATATACATACACTGCAATCGAGTGTCGATAATGCTCAGACTAATTTTACAAAGCGAATTAATGCTTGAACGAAGTGCCTTTTCATTGCAATCGATTAGTTTAAAAAAACAAAAAAACAAAAAAAAAAAAAAGAAACGACGATCTAATTAAACAAATCGTCACCTTTCAAAGCAATAACCGTCCATACGAGATGTTTACGTGAACATGTGGTAATTGTTAAAATAGGCAAACATTTTTTTCTTTTTTTTTTTTTAAAAAACCCTTTTTAAACACGGTAATTATATAGAACAGGATAAACCTTATCGATTTCAATGATCTTTACACATCGAGGTAATTAAAATCGGCATGGTTCGTCCTGTTTCATGCAATTATCTGAAATACTTCGAAGAGGGGAACACAAAATATGAATATATATATATTTTTTTTATATATAAAGTCTATACTTGTTACGAATTGCAGTTATATTGGTATTTTGAGAAGAAGAAAGGAAAAAAAAACACTTGTTAGATTGTAAAATTCTCTTACGTTTTATACTACATTACAGTTATAATTATGGAGATTACAGAAAGAAAAAGGAGAGAGAGAGTATATGATATTTATAGATTATCTTTAAATATCTCTTTTAGCGTTAAGGATCATTTCGCCTTTAAACTCGTCCCCCATTTTTTTCGGGAAAGAAAGAAAGAAAGAAAGAAAAAGAAAGAAGAGGCCGTTGATCTACTAGTGTCTGTTTCCCGTGAAACAAACACGTGTAGTTAATTGTTAATTAAAAAGAGGAGATAATACGCGTATATTTAGTTACATGTGGCAGCTTGAAAACAAAAGCAGCAGAGGTTGACGTAACTATTTTCTTTTTTCTTTCGTTAGCACGAAAATGAGGCGACGATAAGCGGTACCAGTGATAACGATCGCTCTATTAAATGCATCCTTTTTCCATAAAAAAGAAACCGTTTTATTTTTTTGCCAGTAATCAAAATATTTATTATGCAATGTAACGGATGAAAAACTTGAATTTTGAATAATTTTAATTATAACGTGCCTTATGAAATACGCTCATTTCCACAGTGGCAATTAATGAACATTTTTAAATGTTTTCTGTATATAATAGTTACGTCTACACTCAAAGCGATCGTTTTATCGATTTGTAATTTCGTTACGTAGATGTATAAATAGAGAATCGTGTAAAGAGCTCTTCCGACTTTTCTTACGTTAAGGAAAAGTTTAGGAAGATGCGTAATTATTAATTAGTATATCGTAATTTTTTTTTTTTTTTTCGATGTTATCATTCGCGAGCACGGTTTTCACCGATTTTTCTGTTGCAACGCTAGCCGTGCGAGCGAGGAGAGCGAGTATTCGACCTCTTTCTTTTTTTTTTTTTTTTTTTTTTTAATTTTTTAAGGGAATAATAAAACGATCATGTAATATCCATTCGATATTTTGTGTTACTATCTGTATTATTCGACTGAGACTTGGAATGCGATCGCTGTTACAGTTAAGTGTGTCGATACAAAGAGTAAAAAGAAATAGAATTTGTTTTATCAACGTTTACGACTGTCGCGAAGTTGAGATGATTAATTAATTGTTTTATCAAATCTGCGGGTATTTTGCGGTTTCATGAATCATAAGTGTCTACTTTTTATCTTGCGATTCAACATTAATGGTGAATGTTATTTTTTATTTAATTGCTAGTTATTCGCAAACTCTAAAGATTCTATTGTAATTGTTACGTATACTTGTAGAAATTAAATTCAAGTAGTCTTGTTTTTTTCTTTTTACTTCTGTAATAATGATACCGATGATTCACGAAACCCTTCAAATTCGACTGTTAATATGTTGACGATAGTTCAGTTTTTGCGAGCGAAGAAATTTTATATGTTTAATCATGTCGAGAGGCACAAACGTGTTTTATTTTCATCAATTAACACCTTACCTACCATAGTCTAGCTTCCAATTGGTTAAGGTGTTAACGTCCACTATGTTTTTTGTTATCAGCTTTGCGAAGAAAAAATTGTTCTGTGTGTTGTGAGAAAAATGCAAAAAAAAGAAAAATAATGTTTAAAAATGTTACCCTATCGTAAACGATGTACCATAATTTCGTCAATGTCGATGCGTTTACTTTAGACGCGATAGCTTCCAGGCGTGTCAGGTCAGATACATTTTAATGTATTATTTTTAATTGCCTAGTTAACGATAATATTAATATTACCATACCGTATCTTGCTTTCAGTCTAAACTCAATTTAGTTGTTACGTTTTCAGGGGTAACTTGGGGAGGGTGGGAGGGGAACGAGAGGGGTTGTAGAATCGAAAGAAGAAAGGGGGGAAAGAAACAAGAAACAGAATCTTTTTTTTGCGAAGTGCCTTAAGATAGAAAAAAAAAATATATATATTGCGGTGAAATTGAATGAAATTTCACGGGAATTGTTTTCTGTTTAATTAGCAATCGATTATAACGGTAACAGATTATTGAACGAAAAATCTACGGAGCTGCTTGATTTTTTAGGTGGCGCGAGAAAACTAAAAACAAATCGTAACATCTGAGATTATATAATACCGAGAAGCAATTAGTTGTTTAATATCAGTATTTAAATATGCTCATTGGCAATAATTTGTGACGTACACTTTTTATATCGGTAACAAGTGCCTTAGTAATAACGATAATGATAAATATATTGTTTACTTACGTACTGACAAACGATGTTATTCTTTTCTCCACCTCGTTTCTTTATCACGTTATAAAACATAACGTCGATCTATCAGTTTACACCTACGCGACGGCATTAAAGTCTCCCAATGTTTCCCTCTGATCCATGGCGCGTTCTATGGTTCTAACCATTGTTGTTAGTCATCGTCTGCTGCTTCGTTTCGTAGTTGAATGATCGATCGACTAAACAGAGGAGAGAAAAGTTGTATGTGTTCGTGTGTTCTTTCTCCACGATCGTTTTCAGCCATCGTATAGCTGGAACGAGATGGAAGCGGCAGATTTCTGATTTGGCAAGGGGTGGGCTCCGCCAACGATGGGGGAAGAAGAAACGGTAGTTTGCGAGGGTGGATGTGATCCATACGAACCCCATGACGTCCTGCACGTTTCACGGGTATTTTTATGGATTCTTCCAAATGCTTGTTCGATCGTTCCGAAACGTTGGCCAACCTATTTTCGTATTCCTCCCTCGTTTACGCGACTATTTTTTTTCTACAAGAATTCTTCTCCTTCTGACAGGAAAACGAATCCAACTGGAATTGTTACATTGCTAAAAAGAAAAGGATTTTCCACAATTTACATCGTTTCGACCAGTGCCCACTATTCTTCAGTTATATTGCCGTAATTACCACCTTACGTTCAACGTTATCCAACGCAAAAAAAAAGAAAAAAATGATACTTTACTGCCCACCACGAGTAAAAAAGCTTCCTCTAAGCACTGCAATCAGAGAATCCGTGTATCTTTCTTCTCCAAATGTATTAAAACGAGGCCCAGTCCGTCTTTTTTTTAAATTCCGGGCAAACAGGTAAAAAAGGCTTGGACGGAGATTAGCGATTGGGTACCTGGCCTTTTTCAACCCTTTCTTCGCGTGTCCTTTCAGCAATGGAAAGTATTCAGGGCTTTGGATTGTCCCTAGCCGCAGTTTTTTAACCCTTTTACTACTACGAACGTAAACGCGCGTTCAGGGATTATCAGGCTTTCGGTGGGCGTCGAAATTCATATTCTAACGCTTGAAACTCGTATATTTATAAAGTTTAAAAGCGCATAAAACGTATCAAATTCGGGATCTTTCGAAAACAGAAAAAACAGTTGACCAATAAAAATAAAACTGCGGAAGGGTTAAGGCAAGTTTGCAACTTCCACGAGACGCAAGAACTTCTGGATAATCCGACTACCCTTTGCACTTGATAAAAACTGTGCGACAGGGTGTACGAGATTCTTTTGTATTTGAAAAAAATCATTCCTTTTTTCTTCTTTTGTTTGATGGAAAAACATTGGGGGTGAAAAAACGGTACCTACTGGCTCTAGCGGTAGAGGGTCTTGCAATGGAAATTATATTATATATAAAAATTATGAAATAAAAGGGACATGTGTATTACATGTAATAAAATCATCCACGAGTAATCTCTGTATGATTCTCACGCAGGTAGGCTACACTTATATTCCGATATGGGGTGGTTTAGGCAGCAGGGGGAAGTCTCAATTTGGACCTCCCCCGAGGTGGACACCTGTGTGCCAAGCGTGGAGGGCTCGGGAGTAATATACATAAGATCCCGCAGCCCTCCTTTAGCGCCAGTATCAGTCACTGTCGATGATAAAAAAACTCGACTCCACGCACCCTACCCCTATGGCACACCGCATTTGATACAAGCTCAAAAAAACTCCCCTACTCTCAACAAGTGTATACCTCTATTGTGTAACCGAGTTGTAATGTGAGATCGATGGTGTATCATGGTAAAAAAAAATTAAAACTTCCCCACGTGCAACAGGTGATCTTTTCATGGGTTAGGGGCTTTACAATCGTTCCCCCTTTGCTATCACTTTTACCCTTTTAAACCTACCCTCTTATTGAGACGTTCCATCAAAACACACCATTTTTTTATCGCTTCTTAATCTGTCAACCCTTTCACACCTGTTCGCGTCTTTGATGAGCCTATTTCTTTTCCAATATTAAAAGTCTTTTGTTTGAAAATTTGAGTAGCTAATTTTAGTTAATTTAGGATTGATCCGGCTCCTTTTGTTCGTGGGTTAAATACGGCTGTGAAAACTTCGCCGGAAAAACGTGTGGCTCGTTAAGGATCATCCATATGTTACTCTCGACGAGAATTCAATGATCACAGAATGACGTTGGCGGATCGATCGATCCTCCTGACCGAAAGGGAATATCATCCCCTTTTTTACCAAACATTTTTCCGCTCCTCGTCAACTTTTCAGAAAAACGACACGCCGGATGCAGTGCGTTAAAACGCATTCTTAATGGCCACGGGTTCGATCCCTTTGTCGATGCTTTCCATTTAAAACGGCATCTCTGCTCGTTCATTGAGGTGATCTGCAAAATCTTGTGGTCCCCACGAAGAATGGAGAGGAAGAAAAAAAAAAAAACGGATAGGAGACAGTTTTCTCGTCTTTGACGTTTATAAACGATTTGCTCGAGCATGCAAGCTGTAGTCGTTTAAAAAGAAATTCGAAGAACACGGAAAAGTTTATGCTTATTACTAAAGGTACTTTTCCACGTGTCATCCTCTTCATTCGCTTTTTATTACACGTGTATGATGGTTGTCGTCAGTTAATAGACTTCTGCGAGTAGCTAATCCTCGCTGACACGAAGCTTAAGCCAGCGATTAACTGTAATAAGTGGTAAAAGAGGCTTGGAACGTGGTTTCTCGAGGATGTAACACGCGTGTGTCTACTGTAGCAAGGAATCTCCGAGGAAATTTAGTGGTAGCCACCTTGACGCGAGGCCACAGTTCCGTATTCCTTTTCAAGACCTCTTGGATATATACGTAAAATGGCTCTATAAATAGGGTAGGAGAGGCGCAGCTGAGGCGGAAAGAGGAAATCACGGGGAAAGCACGCGCTTGGGGTCGTATCGTGTGTCGACGCAGCGTAACAAAAAAGAAGAAGACGAAGAAGAAGGGAGGGTGGATGAGGTTTGCGAAGCAAGGGATTCTATCTCTTGCAGATTTTCCAAAGAATTTTCCTCTACGACTTATGGCACTTTTTGCCTCGTTTGAGTATCTATTTTCCTTCTCGTTATCAGAAACTTTGTTCTAAATTTTTATCTAAATTAGTCCCCACAAGTGTCGAGATCTTCTAATCTACAGAAACTCCTAATTTCAAATAATTCCAGGTGATTCAAAGTTTCGAGAACGTCTGGAGCGAGAAAATAAAAAAAGGAGAAAAGGAAACATGCACCGGGATTGGGACGTTTGAAAAGTGGCCAGAATTAACGCGTGCGCTTTGGCCACCCTGTGACCTCCCTTTTTTTCTCCCGGCTGTCCACCCTTGTGCTACGCAGGGGTGCCACGAGGGTGCAGTAGCCCCATGCTCCGCCCTTTGAGGACTTGCCCCTCGCCAGTCGATACACAAAAAAAAAGAAGAGAAGAGAAGAAAACGCCTATAAATGAAAATGATCGGAGTTCTACCAACGACGCGCGGTTTCCTAGTTTCGAAATCCGATTATGCGCCGTCATCCAACTACGCAAATCCGTTGTAATGACCCACCGATTACGCGATTAACGTTGCACGCTTGTTAAGCAACGATGTCTGGGAATTGGACTATGATTTTGATCAAGAAAATAGGGGAAGTTTGTCCACAGCTATTGTCTGAAATTTTTTGCAAATTTCAACTGTTACCCTCGGCTCGATATTACGAAATTACGTTCAATAACACTCAGACCCAAAAATTCTACTTTCTCTCGCAAAAACAGTTTTAAAACCTTTCAAATTTTCTTTCCTGTCCGAAGCAAGAGTCGCTGCTTTTCCTTTCCCGTTGCCGTAGATACATTGAAACGGTTCGTTATTAAGGCTCGGTCAGTCATTAAGCCAGCACACGCACCGGGGGTGTCCGGTTCGGTCGTGATCCGGGGTGAAAATGCGATTCCGGTCTTTCTCAGCGTCGACAATCGGGTCGCGGAAAACCGGACGGCTGCAGCAGCCGTTTTTCGAAAATCTGCCGGTTATTGGGGTCAGAATCTGACTGGACAATGGTCACGTATGCTTCGATCTATAAATCTTGCATTGTAACAGTGTGGATGTTTAGTCGCCCGCATATTAACCCAGGGGTGAAAAGGCCGCGCACCCGGCATTGTTCAATAGTTGACCCCTCTCGTGGTACAGTGACCCATGGCATTCTTATTTATCAGGTTACGAGTCGCCACTGCTCGTAACCGATCCACGGATCCCATCGATTCCATTCGTCCGTGTCCTAGTCTGCTTAGTTTCCTCTTTCTTTCCTCTCCGTCACGCTATACGTTCGCACCCTTCGCGAAACTCGAACCGAAAGATTTGGGAACGGCGAGTATTTCCATTCGTTTCGCTACGATTTTCTAATACCATGGTCACTGAT